GCGCGCCGACCCGCCTGTGTGTGGGAGAGCGCGCGCGTGCGTGTGTACGCGGCGGTGCGCGCGTGAGCGTTTCACACCTGACTACTACGCGAGTCATACGAGCGACCGTCGCGACGTCGAAAGACGACGCGGTGCGCGCAGGAAAGCGCGAATATCGCCGAAAATCGTGTTAGGGAACGCGGGGATTTATCGCGCGGCGCTCACGGCGCCCCGCCGCGCAGAATCGATTTATTTTGTCGGCACGGTCTGCGCGGCGAACACGGTAGGTTAGTTGACCGCGGGGCCGAGCGAGCGCTGAGCTGACAGTAGGCCGGCGACGTCACAGTGGGCCGGTTGAGCCTTCCTTCGTTCGATTCAGGCAGGCTCCTCTATTCGTTTTACATGTAGCAAGGTAAATATTTAGACGCGGTGATTCCTCCGATTTCGAAAAAGGAACGTGGCCCAGTGCGCGCAGTACGTTATTTCCCGTCGCCGTTGTCGTCGTAGTCGTCGTCGCCGTCGTTGTCGTCGTCGCCGTCGCCGTCGACGTCGTGGTCGCCGTCGTGATCGTCGCCGTCGTCGTCGATCGCCGTCGTCGCGGGGGCGGACGAGCGTTCCGTCCCGACGGTATTTTGTGCGATCTGCGTGCGTCGTCAGACGGACGTTTGATTTTGCCACCCGAGACGTCGGACGTCACCAACCACGGACGGACGGAGCGAGAGATAGGGAGAAAGTAATTGCGCGCGCGAGAAAAGGAGAAAGAGAGAGAGAGAGAGAAGCAGAGTCCGTGCATTTTCGCTACGGAGAGGGTGCGAGCCACGATTTCGCGCTCGTACGTCGCCCGCCGACGACGTCCACGTTACCACTTGCCGTGTCGTAAACCACCGCTCTGCCACCGCCGCCGCCGCCGCCGCTCTGCCACTGACGTTTCGTCGCCAACCGCTGTCACCGCTGGCCGTCACGGGCCCGACGTTCGCGGCCGGACGGACAAACATCTGAAAGACAGCCGCCGCGGCAACGGGGAAAAGGGACGGACAGAGGTGCATCGTGAGAGAGAAACGAAAGGAAAGAGAGAGAGAGAGAGAGAGAGCGTCGCAAAGTGCGCGAGGAGTCGCGCGTCGCGCGAAAATCGCGCGCTCGCGTGCGCTCCTCGTCGAACGTGCTCCGATTTTCGCGCTTAATTCGTCGATCGGCGCATTTCGCGCGCGCGAGCAGAGCAGAGCAGAGCGGAGCGCCAAAGTGATACGGAAGAGAGATCTCTTCTCCGTAGTGTTCGTGTGTCGCGCGCTACGAGAGAGCGTGCCCTCTTTGGAGCGCACTCTGCTCTCCGAAAGGAGAGGACAGGCCTCCGAGGGGACACGTGAAAACGCGCGCTTCTCTGACAGCTCGCGCTCGCGCCGTGGCGCGCGACGCGTGCACGTCATGTTCGCGAACTCTCTCTCTGTCTTCTCTCTCTCTCTCTCTCTCTCTCTCTCTCCCTTTCTCTCGTTCTCTCTCCCTCTCTGTGTTCCTCTCTGTCTCTCTCTCCCTGTTTCTCGTACACGCGCGTTTCCGGCAGCCGCGATATTATAAATCGAGACTGCGACCTTGCGCGGCCGCGACTTTTTGGCAGCGGCTTTCGAATCGCGCGCTACGCGCCGTGACGTGCACGCGCGTTCGAAATAGTCCGGCTTCCTCCCCGGCTTCGTCTTGCAAGCGGAAAGGCCTAGCCAGAAAAACACACGGCGCGATAGATAGCTAGAGGGGCGGCGGAGACGGCTAGAGGGAGACGGAGGAGAGGAGCGCGATCTCAGGATGTACGCTTTTGGCACGGGCGCGCTCGCGCGTGCCATGACATCGCGCTACGCGACGCGCCGCGACACACACGTGACAAGTGAACAGTGCAACGCGCGTAGCGACGACCACGAGGAGAGACGCCGAGGAGGTGAACAACTCGCGGCTTCCGTCGCCGCGACGCTCGTCGCGGGGCTCGTCGAGCTCGACGACCTGGCTCTTCTCGTGAAAAAAGCAAAGAGAAAGAGAAAGAAAGAGAGAGAGAGAGAGAGAGAGAGAGAGAGAGAGAAAATGAAAGCGTAATAGCGCGCTGAGACACCGACAGGTGGACGTCACGTCGGAAAAGTGCGACGGAGCCCGGGAATATGCACGGGACGCGTGTTCTTTGCGAAAGGGGCATACTGCGGGAGTGCGTGTCCCGCGAGCCGCCAACGCGGCCGGACGAAAATACATCACGTGCGTCGGGAAATTGACGAGAGGGAGACGGAGAGGCAGATAGAGAAACAGAGGCGGACTCGTTGGGAGGGAGGTAAGACGCGGGAGGTCGATTTGCGCGATGAGGGAGTCGCGACGGGACGATCGGCGAGGATGAGCGTCGTCGGGGATGTGCGAGCAGAGGTAAAGCGCGACGGTCCCGAGGAGATCCAGGTCGACCCTAGGACGGCGCGCTCTCACGCTCCTAGAAATCGGAGAGGCCGTCTCTCAACCATCCGTGCGTCCAGGTATTCAACTCCGCGCGAACTTCGAGGCGGCGCTCGTCGCCGGCGGTGTGCAATTCGCGATCGGTTAATCTACGTGGAGGCGAGTAAGTTGCTCTCTCCGCCTTCTCTGGCTTCACGTGTGACTCGCGTTCGGAGGAGATTTCGCGGTCGGTCGATGAAACCCTCATCTGAGCTTCAGCTCCGTTCCAACAAAGATGCAAGCTCGGGTTAAGGCTTCATCGACATCGGTGGCGGAAATCGGTGCATCGGTGCTGGTCTCTCCGCCTCCTCTTCCTCTCGTCTTTGCCGCCGTCGCGTGTGACTCGCGAGAAGAACTCGCGATTAATCGACGTGGACGTCGCACGAGTAAGTCACATCAGTCTCCGCAATCGGTCCTCTTTGTGCGTCCTCCTCTACCGTCCCCGATCGTCGCCGCGTGTGAGATTTTCGCGCGGGGGACTATACTCATCCTCCGGCGTGTGCGGCGAGGATTCCGGCAACGGGCGCCAAGTGCAGCGCGCTTCCGCGCGGAATTCTCTCCCGTGCCAGCAGCCGCTTGCCCTTGACGGCGCCCTGCGCGCCCTTCCCCGCTTTAATTAGCCGAACACGTCGCGAAGAGGCTCGAACACGCGTGTGCCGCGCGATCCGCGTGAGGGAAGCGCGCAAGTGGTAACAGTGGCACGCGTTCTGTCATCAAATCCCGACGCCGCGGGGCTCGAACCTCCGATTGAAATCCAGCTCCGTTTCCGAGCTAATTCGATCAACGCCCGTCGTTTCTGCCAGCGTCGATTAAACCTTAATTTCAGCTTGAACTCGGTTCGGACAGAGACTCGAGCGCGAGTTGAGATTCAACCGACACTGGTGGAAATGCGCATAACTCTGACGCAACTCCGACGCGCTGCCGTGAAAATACGTTGCTGCTACGTTGAAAATCATAGCCTTAGGCTGCGAGAATTACGACGCGCGGGATCACGATGGACGGAGCGGAAGTTTCAGCTGTGCCTCTTCGAAAGAAATTATTATTCGGCGAACATGCGACGATTGCCCCATGGCTCCCGCGAGTAACCCGATGTCACCGTAACCGACGTAACCAGGTAAAAGAAATCGCTGGGGAAATTTGTCAAGGTTATCGACGTTTGCTCAGATGGATTCATTTCTCCTTTCTTCGATATAATTGAGAGATACGTAGAGAAACATATAAGACTGCACTGAGGAACGAGTGTTTGGTGTTTGTGACTGCAATCGTATAGTAAAGAAATTAGATAGATAGGTGCGCGTAAATTTGGCAGCAACTTTACCAGTCGACGCTGAAAAAGTGTACAATACAATGGCTCCAAAAGTAACAATTATATATAATGACCTACGAGAGCTAACCGCTGTTATCAGTGCGTATGAATGTAAGTTAATTCTATAAAGTCTATATTTCGGCCGCGCAATGTGGTCCTTCTTTAGAGGAAATCTTAAATTCGTTGCAGTGGTCAGTTGCAAAGTGTTAGCAAAATTGTAATAATTACAACAAAAGTAACATGTCCTGAGTGAGATCCAAATAATTAGTGTGGAGAATACAAATACCGTAAATGCAGGATACTCCCAAGTAAATTACAGCGCACCCATCGTTATTCTAATCTGTATTCAATTAATCAACTAATCTGTGTTTATTGGTTGCAAAAATCCAAGCGTGACGCAAAAGAATCACAGAAGACTCCGTCGGTCAGCGTCGGCTAACAGGGTCGTTATAGTCAGAGTTATAAATTCACTGGTCGATTTGTAACAATTGCGTCTCTTGCAAGTGACTCATATTTGTCACATAGAATGACGAAACAGAGATACGAAAGAAATATGAAAAGAATAATCAAAATTTACTCACAACAGTGTGTCATGCAAAATGCAATATGAAAATAGGTGTGCAACTTTTTTAGTAAATTCGCAGCTGCATCAATGCAACAAAAAATGTACATGATGCACTTTTAATGTTTAAAGAATTTACATGATGCAAATTTAATGTTTAATTCAATATAGTATATTTGTCTTATAAATGTAATAAAAACAATTGTAGAATTCCCGTCATGGATTCTCTTACGTCGTGACAATCATGAAAATCTAATTATAGTCAGAATAACCATTTTTGGAATGAGCGTTGTTGTATCCAAATAGAGAGAGAGAGAGACAGATGAAAATTTGACAACAACTTTACTAATCAGTTTCTAAAGATTGCATCACCAAAATGAGAATTTTTTTGTTTTCTTCTGAAAACTATAACTAAAGACTTAAGTAAGTTCTAAATGCAGACAAAGACATATGGTAAAAGTCAACTACGTTATTAAAGAAAATTACAATTCACAATTGAACGATTAGTTGGTTTAAATTGATAAAAAAGAGGAAAGGACGCTTTCTAAGAGAGTTCTGGAAGATATATAAAAATGATTGACTGCCAAATATCATCGCAATCAATCAAATCTGTAACAATTTTGAAGAACAGAAGATCAATTAAAGTAATATGAAAATCTGAATGTAACTTTGAGTAGATTTGTCGCTGCGTCGAAGTAACAAGCAATTCGCGTTATTGTATGATGCAACTTTTATGATTAATTCAGCATATTCCCCCTTCATAAATGCAATTAAAAAAACCGTAGAGTGCCCGTCATGAGATTGCCTCGCTTCATGATAATCATGATATTCTATCTGGGTTAATGATATTAATCTTACACCTGTATTGCTTGCTACTCCTTTTTCTTTGTTAGAACAACAATAAGATACTCTTAACGCCTAAAGTGACTACAATTTTCGCGAGGTCAACCGCTTTTTTTCCCTAGATGTGGGTCAAGAGGGGCCGGGAACCGGCGGGGAGGGAGGAGCAAGATTTTCGCTCCACTCGTGTGTCACCGAAGCGTCAAAGTGTTCCCCGGGACATTCCCGCGCGTCCTTACGGCCGCGAAATTCGCGCGTTCCACGTCACGGTGTGTGTGACGCGAGCGGCGGCCCCGCGTATATACCGTCGCTCGTTTATTTATTCTTACGTTTCTCGTCGTGCCGCGGTCCTAACGCGCGCGCGACGATAATAGCGTTTCCGCGATCGACTCTCGGCCGCCTCGACGGAGGCAGACCGCGTGACGTATCGCTCGCGACGCGGCGACGGGGCGCGAGGACGAGAATACCAACGACGACGACGAAGACGGCGACGGACGGCGTCGCTTCGTCCTCGTTCCTACGGCGCGGCCCTCGCGCCGCGCAGTCTGTCTTCGTCGGGGAGCTGCATCCGATGTTCGCGCGCGCGTCACGTACGAGCGAGAGAGACGTCGGGGATTTTAGCGTGAACCTCGATAGCGAGCCGCCCGCGATACCGCCGAATGCGCTCGGATTCCATTCTTCTGTGCAAAACAAGCGCGGATCAGCCCGGACGATAATCCTTGTCGCGGACTTACGCGTCGTCCGCGCGATTACGGCCGCCCACTGTATACTCGAGACGTGCCGCCGAAGAGTTTCGTTCTTCTTTTGTCTCGCGAAACGATCCTCGCCTAACCTATCAGATTCGGTCTGCTCCTTGTAGCCGCGCTGGTGCAATAAGTTAGGGCGAGGCGAGTGTAGTTTTTCTCACTCCAACTTATCGCATCGGTTCAGCGGTGCAGCTACAAAGACCAGACCTATTGAGTGATGTTCCAGGAAGTTCTGTAACATTCTACACGCTCGCAACAGCTTCATATAGCGTTCTATTCGCGTAACAAATATACGAAAGAATATTGTATGATGTCATTTTTTTCTCTCATAATATACACTTCTCTTATCCGAATACGGACAGGATTTTGTAGTAAAAATTTCTGCGGACTCTTGTGATCGAACGATAGATCGACATTCTACAGTAATTTATTATCCTTTTCTTTCATATGTGCTATTGATATTTCAGGAACTCCGTTACTAAAACGTTTGAACGTTTCTAATGAAATTTACTGGCAGATAGATCTTACTGATAGTCTATTCCTGCAATACTGGTAGAATTGAAGCAACATGGTAGAATTGAAAAGAGAATTTATATAAAAAAAACAGAGAATATAATATCCTTTTCTATGTATATTGTGAAATGAAGTTACCTACAAAGAAAGTAAGAGATTGATTCGTTTATTTCCATTTTAAATAGAAACTCTTAAAAGCGCACAGCATTAAAGAAACAAGTGCGTTAGAAAAATTCGAAATATAGAAAGTATTCCTTACGCGTACGGAAAAATAGAGGAGAGATAAGACAGAGAGAGAAAGAGAGAGAGAGAGAGAAAGAGGGAAAGGGAGAGAAGAAAAGAGAGGCTGATCAACAAAGGAAAAGTGACCCTCGCCGCGTCTCTGGCGGGCGCGGTTCTTTCGGCAATACGGCCCTGCGCTCTAAGCAGCATAGACATTTGACGTTTCGCGAAGGTCGCGTGTTCCAGCTCTCTCTTTCTCTATCTCCCTCTCTGCCGCTACGTCCATGTCTCGCCCCCGTCTTTTTCTACTTTGTGCTCCGTCTGCCTTGCACGCGCGTAACGCGCCGCGTACGCGTACATAAGCACGTCGCGCGACATTTAACGATCGTTACGCATTCAATTGTTCACCGCCACCGCCGCCGCCGCCGCCGCCGCCGCCGCCGCCGCCGCCGCCGCCGCCGCCGCCGCCGTTGTCGAGAAACCACGCGCGACTTTCCGACGAATGCGTACCGGAGCGAAAATCGTAGGCTCTCCTTCGACAGCCGGCGAGACTTTCCGCGGCGCGTTATCGGCGTACGTGACATTGAGGATCGCCCGCGCGAGAGAGAGAACGAGAGAAAGAGAGAAACAGAAAAACAGAGAGAGAGAGAGATAGTTGCAAGTAACGCACGCCGGCGTTAAGCCGCGCTATCGTAGATACCGCGACGTCGCGATGCGCCGCGCCGCGCCGCGACGTTGATCAGCTGGCGTCGCTCTGTCTCTCTCGCTCCCCGAGGCTGGCGTGCGCGCCTCGTGCTCCACCGTACGCGTAAAACCGAACATGCTAATGGGACATTCAGACGCGCGTTAGAC